GAGACCCCCCTGCCTCTGCCTCCCGAGTGCTGGGATTAAAGGCATGCGCCACCACTGCCCGGCTTATGAAACATTTTAATTAAAAAAAAAATTAAAGTGAAAAACCATAATCTCAGGAGAATCTCCTGTAAGAAACATTTTAATTAAAAAAAAAAATTAAAGTGAAAAACCATAATCTCAGGAGAATCTCCTGTAATTTCATTAAAAAGAAATAAAACAAGACACACATTCAAAATGTTGTAATTTATATAAAGTTGAAAATAGGCCAAACACACTCTAACAGATATTCAATGAAAAGTAAATGTACAGTTTTCACTTCTAAAACTAAAGTCGTAAATACTGATTGAAAAAGTTTTAAGCTTTAGGGACCAGTCCCCAGCACTGAAATTCAACTATGTACAAAACGTTCTGGTTTTATTCTGTCGTTTTAGAGAACAATGAAGGAAATATAAAGATAACAATTTTCATCTAACCAGACAACACTTCCAGGCTTTTAAAATATTAAAATATGCAAATTATTTTTAAGATACATTAAGTATTTGGGTGTTTTAAATCCAGAAGTAAATACTTATAACCAAAGGGTTATTACTAAAACTATTTGTTGCTTACACCAAACTCTTTTATGTCTGTTTCTCATAAGAATTTTTTGAAACTTGTATTATCTACAAGGACTGGTATATTACTGTTGCCTATTAATTCAGATAAACTATTGCTACTGACTTGTCAATATAGCAGACCTTTTTTAAATTTCCAGTACACACATATTTTTTAAATCCTTGGCCTGATCTTGCTTCTTCTTAGGATGCATAGCTCAACAAGCTCCTAAGTGTTCTTTACCAGGTCTTCTTCTTCTTCTCATACCTTTAGGGATGTATAAATTTTAGTCCTCAAACATTTACCATCTGTAAGTTTCATCTTTCATCCTCCACAAGCCTTGTATAACTTTAGTCCTTCTGTGAATTTAAGCTTTTTTTTCTTTAAAATTTTTTTTATTGATTTTACATAGCGACCACAGTTTTCCCTCCCTCCTCCCATTCCTTCTCCCAACCTCCCCGCAATGCACCCATCCATTCCCTCCCTTTCTATTCAGAAAGGATAGGCCTCCCATGGGAGTCAACAAAGCATGGCACATCAAGTTGAAGCAGGACCAAGTTCTTAAGAGAACTGAATTTTTCCCTCCAAAATCTTGTTTGTAGTCAGTTTTAAAACAAAGACAGCAGAATCAAGTGCCTGTAGAGACCACTGAAATGATTAAATGAGTAGAAAAGGAGGGAATGGAACTATGACAAGTCTACTCACATAATTCCATAAAAAGGACCATTCCTACTCAACTCTGCCTTGCTTTAATGTGGATTGTGGTGCCAGACTACATTCATTTTTCAAAGTGTTTTATATAGTTAGGAACTCAGTTGGTTAGCTTTAAACGCTGTACAAATCATCTAAAACAACTCGAGACAGACTTGAGTGTCATGATTGTTATTTGGTGAAACTTAAAAAGTATATTTTATTTTGAAGAAATAATTATTTTTCTTTGTGTTTTACATATAGTCGACAGAGGTATGTTCTTGGTGACACAGCAATGCAGAAGATGGCCAAGTCCCATGTCTTCTTAAGTGGTATGGGTGGTCTTGGAGTTGAAATTGGTAAGCAATATTTTTTCCTATAATTTCTGTGATACTTTTGAGTTGCATAAGATAAAGAATATAACTCTATTTTCTTTAGAAGAAATTAGATTCAAAATATTGTTCAGATATTTTTGACAAAATATTTGGTAGCACAAGTATGGTCTTCCACAGAAAAGCAAAAATGCCTCTCATGTGGCAATCTTAATAGCTATTAATTAAGTCATCATTTATTTTGTTTTGTTTAAACAGGTTCTCACTATTTAGTCCTGGCTGTGTGGAACTCACTATGTAGAACACATTGGCTTTTAATTCACAGAGATCTGTCTGTCTTTGCCTCCTAGTGCTGGGACTAAAGGCATATGCTACCATACCTTGCTAAACGATAATTCTTAATTCATTATGGTTTCATAATATATTCATAAAACTGATAAATGAATAGATATCGTTAAGTGATATGAGTATATAAAATTGTATCAATTCAGATTTTCTCCTGGATTTTCTAACTTAAGTAAAAAAAAAAGTTATAGTTACCCAGAAATATGATGAAGCTCACATTTTGTATGTATTTTGTATGAATTTGCAATGCTAATTAATTCATTTTCTTATTCCTTTATAGCAAAGAATCTTGTTCTTGCAGGGATTAAAGTGAGTATATACCCACAGTATGAAAAGTGGTTCATGATGAACTGTCTTATTTTTACTGATTTGTAGTGACAATGTACTTTGTCATATAGTTTCATTTTATATAACAGAATCAATAATGTTATGTTGTTCTTTTCTAAATTTATTGAAAATTAAACATAAAAGAGTTCTTAACACATTCTTAATTACCTGTCACATAGCTTTAGTTACCAACTCAATGTACATTTATGTTTCATATATTTGCTTCCCATTCCCTACTGGCTGCAACTGTTAAATTCTTTAAGAACTTAAGATATTTTATTGTTCTTAAATATTTTAGTATACATCTTTAATATAACCATAGCTTAGTAAGATTTTAATACCTTAAAATCTAATAATTTATTAAGATTGTTATATTAGTTTTTTTATTGCTATAAAATCATTTACTCCAAAATTTAGCAGCATCATTTCTTATGTCCTGTTTGCATGGGCAAAGATTTTAGCTTGTTCTTCTGTAAGGATCTCTTACAAGGCTGCAAACAGTATACAGAGGAGCTCCAGTCATCTTGGAAGTGGTTTGTCAAAGAATTTGTTTACAAAGCTCATATTTGGTTGTTCCCAGCTTTCTTTCTTTGTAGATTGTAGGACTGTAGACCTTAGTTCTTTACTAAGGACCAGAGGTCACTCTCTGTTTCTAGCCATATGCCTGTCTCCATAGTGCTGCTCACAATATGACAGCTAGCTTCTGTAGGCACTATACAAAGGAGGGACTACACTTAACAAGACAAAGTCTATTCTTTAGCACCTAAGTCCATAAGTAAGTCTAGCCCATAATCAAGAGAAGGGATTACCCCAAAGCCCAAATATCAAGAAGTCTGGATTGCTACATTGAAAGCTTGCTAACATAAACGTGAAATTTCCAATTGAGAGTTCAATCTTGTTTTCTTGAGAAGTCTTTTTTATAGTTTATTTTGTTCTAATCAGGAACCAAGAGAATCTGTACACTGCACCTTTCTTTTAATTTGTAGGTTTTCTTCCCTGATTATTTTTTGTCTTCTCTTTAACGAAATTTATTTATTGAAGAAAGTAGTCATTGTGTGACACATATAGTGGCATATGTCTAAATACAGCACTTCAGAGGCAAGAGGCAAGAAGACCAAGCCTGTCCTAGTCTACCAAGTTAGTTTCAGACCAGCCACAGGTCCAGAGCAAGACCTATCTCCTACAAAATAGAAAGAATGAAAAAAATCTTTGTTGCATATACTTGCATCTTGCATTTTCCTACAAACTGGTAGCCATATCCAGATTCAAATTGGGATTTGATTCCTTTGACAAGACTATTTTGTAGGAAATACTATGTTCTTTCAGGAGGCAATAATATTCTGTTATTCTCTTTACCCTTATTTCATCTATTAATCATCATTGTCTATATTCATTACTTCATTAAGAATTAACAATTTCTTCCTCATTTATTAGCTATAATATTTAGAAAGAAAATTTTTTCTTCATTGCTTACTAAATTTCACTAAAGTGTAGACTGTGTGTACAAAAGGCAGGATAAATATTATACTGAATTTTCCCCTGTTTGCCCCTTCCAAAAGTCATCCTTATCATCCCTCAGCTATAGCTAATGAACTTTATCTATTCCATGACAAATTTGTATATTTAAATGTACCATTGTTATATTTTTATGCATTATACATTCTTTTTATTACTACTAAAATTGGTTCATCTTTCATTAATGGGATCTTTATTTTTCTGACTTCTTTTGACATAACCCCATAGTTTTGTCACTTTAAGTCTTCTTGAGGGAGAGAAATAAAAACATTAATTAATCATCATGAAGCACTGAAGTGTATTCAAGTTTAATTTTATAAGTTACTACAAAAATTTCTAATTCACTATAGGAATGATGATTACTTTCACTTCCTGTGTTTGTATTTCCTCTTATGTAAGATTCATAGATTTTAGTGACAGTCTACTTATTTGTCCAATATTATATTTACCTTGTATGACAGAGTTTCAGAACAACAATTTCAATATTACTAACAAATTACTGAAAATTAGTATCTTTTTTTATTATCATTTTTTTAAAAGATTTTATTTATTATGTATACAACATTCTGCTTCAGTGTATATCTGTACACCAGAAGAGGGCACCAGATCTCATAATGGATGGTTGTGAGCCACCATGTGGTTGCTGGGAATTGAACTCAAGATCTCCGGAAGAGCAGTTGGCGCTCTTAACCTCTGAGCCATCTCTCCAGCCCCGAAAATTAGTATCTTTTATCCTTTTCTAAAACCCCTTGCTTTTGACTGATAGCTTTTTAAAAGAAAATCATATTCAATAACTCCTCAAGTTAATCATACAAACAACTGAAAAATAGTTTGGATTATTTCAAGTTGGATTTAATATTACTACTATGGGTATTTATTTAATTCAAAATTAGGCATAAAATAAAATATTTTCAGGTTAGTCTGGTTTCTCTCTACTTTGTTCTCCCTTAGACCATTCACTTTTAAACTTGATTTAGTCTTCATTCGTCTTTAAATATAAGCAAATACATGCATGCATAAATATCCTGTTGAAGTTTATGAATCTGTCTCTTTCTGTGTTTCTTTTTTCCTTATGCAGATTTTTTTATTTAAATTAGAAACAATCTTATTTTACATATCTATCCTATTTCCCTCTCCCTCCCATTCTTCCATGCTCCCCACTGATTTCCCCCTTCCATCCCCCATCGACTCCCCAGGGAGGGTGAGGCCTTCTATGGGGGATCATCAAAGTCTGTCAAATCATTTGGGGCAGGGACTAGGCCCTCCCCTGTGTGTCTAGGCTGAGAGAGTATCCCTCCATGGGGAATGGTCTCCCAAAGCCCATTCGTGCACTAGGGATAAATACTGATACCACTGCCAGAGGCCCCATAGATTGCCCAGGCCTCCAAACTTTAAAGCTTCTCACTAAGTAGTTTCTCCATCAAGTTGTTGCAGTTTGGGGGGTGTTTATAGTCCTGTCTTCTGAATAAAGGTGTAATTGTATACCCTTTTTAGTTCTTACCCCTGCATACATAGTATTGTCAGTATGCTGTAAATAGCCTTAGGGGTAGTGTGCATCCTGGTTCTGTTTGGACTTACCGTGTATTTTCCTCTTATTTTGAAGGCCCTGACAATTCATGATACAAAGAAATGCCAAGCATGGGATCTAGGGACCAATTTCTTTCTGTGTGAAGATGATGTTACTAATGAGAGAAACAGGTAAAGATATTTGATATATTGTCGTGAGATTTTTTTTAAATATTTATATTCAGAATATTTTCTATATCAAGGATGTCAGTTTACTCATAGTGTTTACTTTAACAAGTAAACACTGCTTTAGATAAATAAGTACTGGCATATATTCATTTCCTTTGTCAAGGTTTTGAAATGAATTTGACATCATTAAAGGAAGTTTTTTTTTTTTTTTTCCCTTAGCAAAGTAATGGGTTTTATTGTGGCATGTTTATACACATCTACCATTGTAGTTTGCTTTTATATCCTGGCCCCACACTCTGACTTCCCAGCCCTCTTCACCTTCTCCTCTTTTGTTTAGATTGTCCTTCCTCCTCCTTTTATGACGTACATACTCCATTCCCTTTTTCTGTTCCCTGCCTTGATGATGCTATATCCTCTTCGTTCCCTCTGATAGTCCCTTTCCACTCTTATGTCTAAAGAAGTCTGTAGTAGTGCTGTCATTAAGAAATTAAGCTTGTAGATTAGAAGTAAAAGGGCATATGTAAAGATTGTTAGGCTTGCTGCAGAATATGATTATAGTCTTAAGATTGTGTAGCTATATGAAAAAATGAATCTGTGTTTATCTATGATTCATTTAGTTTTCCTTAAAATTTCATGTGCTAGGTCTTCCTCATGTTATTCAAGTATAGTAAACAAGAGATTGGTAAATGTATTTGTTTTCTAGGGCTGAAGCTGTACTTCATCATATTGCAGAGCTAAATCCATATGTTCATGTCTCATCATCCTCTGCCCCATTTGATGAAACCACAGACCTCTCCTTCTTGGAAAAATACCAGGTTAGTATTTTGTATTAAGTGTTATTGATAGATTCCAAGGAAGTTATATAACTAGTTTAACCTCATATATTGAGGAGCAGAATGAAAAAAGTCAAGTTAAAATAATACCTATTAAAATGGTCCTTTTGAGAGAAAAAGCCCTAGTAACTCCTGAATGTACATTGGGTATTTGGCAATAATGTACATTTGAAATTCAGTGGTTTTTAACAATATGCATTTATTTGTTCCTACTCTTTTAAAAGTTAAAATTTACTTGATAAACAGTGCTTAATAAATATAGGAGAGTTGAAAAATAAGCATGAGTAAATTACCCTGTAGAACACAGAAATAAGGAAAACTTTGAGTAAGAAATAAAAAGAAAATTCAGCTTAGCTGGTAATGGTGACACATACCTCCAGTCCTATTATTTTAGAGACAAAGAAAGGAGGATTGCCATAGCTTAAAAAAATGCTGGGTTAAATAGTGAGTACAAGGGCAGTCAGTTCTACAATTCACTTTGTGAGATTAGATATATAGAAATAGTAAAAGTCAATGTCAGGCTGGAGAGATGGCTCTGTGGGTAAATTGCTAGCTATACAAGCAAAAGAAGGTTCAGATCCCTAAGACCCATGCTGATCCCCATTGCTTGCTGGCCATCCAAAAAAGAAGTAAGTTCAGATCCCTAAGACCCATGCTGATCCCCATTGCTTGCTGGCCATCCAACCTAGCTAATTGATGAGCTCCAGGTTCAGTGAAAGACTGTCTCAGAAAAATATAGTGGAAAGTAATAGAAGATACTAGATGTCACCTCAGACATCTAGTATGCAAACATTTAAGAAAGTTTACATACGCATACACTATATATAAGAAAGAATTAATATTGCTAAAAAGTTTTAGCTGAGAATTCTCTAGCACCTGGTGAACACAAGTTTTCAGATTAAAAATATGCTGGAGCTAGTACTAGATTTTATATAATTTATACCCTAATATATTAGCCTATAATGTTTCATAAATACTGACAGAAAACATCAGGGTGTAACCCATAAAAATAACCCATCAGAAACATAAATTTTAACATACATAGGAACCCAAGAAATAAGAAAAAAAGTAATTCACCTAGCTTTACTATATACCTAGAAAGCCTATCCTACTAAGATGAAAAAGTCATTTCAGTATTAAAAAAAGTTGAAGGAATTCATTACTACTGGACAAAGCTTCTAAAAGATGCTCAAGGGAGGTCATATCCAGAAGCAAAAGAACCATACACATGAAATACATGAATACACATGAAAGTATAAATCTTGTTTGTAAAGAGTACACAGAACAGAATGAAAAGAGCCAAACCACGAAGATGAACAAATCACATTTAAAGATATGCTCTTTCAACAGCCAGTAAACTGTCCAACAAAAACCTTACATGACCAAGAGGGAATGGAATGGCATGTTTTATTCCCAAGAAGACAGGCAAACTAAAACAAGTGGTATTCAAGACAGTTAGGAAAAACCTAAATCCTTACATTGTATTAATTTTAAGTATAAGTGGACTATATTCCCCAGTTAGATGACACAAATTGACTGAATCAAAAACAAGATTTGGCAGTATACCGTCTATCAGAAACTCACTTGAGTAATTAACACACAGAGACTGAAAGTGAAAAGATGGGGAAAATGTTCCACACCTAGGAAGATAAGCATAAGAGTGCTTTCTCTGCAAGCATGTGGAACTGAATTCTTATCCCTAGAACTCAGATAAAAAGAACTCAGAACATGGCTTTGCCAGCATTGTGGTGGGAGTAAGATGAGGATTCTGAGAACTATCCTAGCTGTCTGCGCTGTCTTAGCTGAACCAGTGAGTTCTGGCTCAGTGAGAGACCATGACTCAGGGCAATATGGCAGTCCTCTTACAATAAAGACACCCCAACATCCTTCTCTGGCTTTCAAATGTGTGCACGCATACACCCGAGTTCACACATGTATACACACACACACACACACACACACACACAAATGTAAACCAAAAGTAAGCAAAAGATATTTTTACAAAGAGTAACAGTGAGATGGAAATAGTCATTTAGTTAAGGGATCAATTCAGTAATATCTAAGAAGTAGGAATCAGTACAGTGTTAGAGGGGGACTTCAACACTGCAGTTTCATCAATGGACAGATCATCAGACATAAAATTGACAAACAGCAAGCTGGTTATGGTGACACATACCTCCTTTCCTATTATTTGAAAGGCAAAGAAAGGATTGCCATAGTTTAAAGAAATTCTGGGTTAAATAGTGAGTACAAAGCCAGCCAGTTCTACATAGTAATCCTTACATTGTATTAATTTTAAGTAATGTAGACACATTGTTATAAGTACTATAGATAATTACTGAGCATCAGACATTTACAGAACATTTCATCCAAGAAGTATAGAATATATATATCCTCAACAAATGAAATAGTCTTTAAAATACATTATGTAATAGGGCAAAAAACAAGATTCACAAAAATTGCTATAGTGGAGACTAGGCATGTAGTTTAGTTGCTAGATTGATTACTAACATGCACAAAACTCTGAGCTTGATGGCCTGCATCAGATAAAACTACATGTAAGACATGCCTATAGTACTGCCAGTATAAAAATGGAGACAGGAGAGTCAGAAGTTCAATGTCATTTTTAGCTACATACACTAAATTCAAGACTACCCTGGACTACATGTCTCAAAGGAAAAAGAAATACTGTGTGTTCTTTTACCACTATGCAAAAAAAAGGAAAAATAATGAAATAAACTTCAAAAATTTCATGCACCCCAATTAGAAAGCTATTATTTAAAAAAATACAATGACATGCTGGCAAGAATCTACACCAAAAAGGAATTCTCATGCCATATTGGCAGAAGTATAAATTACACAATTCTCGCAAGAATGATCCTCAAAATTAATAATCATGATTGGAAAATTGGTTCAGTAGTTAAGAGCACTCTTGCAGTGATCTTGGGTAGTCAAGTCCCAACACCTACATGGCAGTTCACAATCTATAACTCCGGCCCAGAGAATCACAGGCTCTTCTGGCCTCCTCTGCCACCAGGCATGCAAGTGGTGTACAAACATGCATGCAGGAAAAATAACCATGCACATAATTTTTAAAGTAAAAAGTTAATTAATAATCTGTATGATGTAGTTATTCCACTTATAGGTTTATAACCAACCTAAATGAAATCATCTTACCAAGAACTGCAAGCCATGCTCATTGTGGCACTGTTGAGCTTGAATATATGTAATCAAACATAAATGCCCTTCCTTCACTGTATACATTGATAAAACTTAGTTTGTGAGTATGTGTGTGTGTCAGTCTTAACACAGAGACACAGGTAGGTGTGGGGAAAGGTGTAAAAGAGAGGCTGGATTTCATCAGTATATACATGCTATAACACAGCCTACTAATATATGCTATTTACATGCTAATCTACACTAATGTAAAAGTTTTAGGGTTAGGGCATTATATTACATTATTTTTTTACTACCACAACGCTGCCCTTCCCCTCCCCACCAGTATAATGCAGAGGACTCAGTAGATGCCTGCTTGAGTACTGGGTAGTAGGTTTGCTTTAAAGGACAATGTGGAGCTAGGGAACCTGCTGTCTTGCAGTAAGTAGTAAGCCTTTTATCCTGAAGGAGATGTTACCTCTTGCCTCAAGTCTGCTTTTTTTTTTTTTTTTTTTTTTCAAGACAGGGTTTCTCTGTGTAGCTTTGGAGCCTATTCTGGCACTTGCTCTGGAGACCAGGCTGGCGTGAAACTTACAGAGATCCACCTGCCTCTGCCTCCTGAATGTTGGGATTAAAGGTGTGCGCCACCAACGTCCGGCTTGTCTCAAGTTTTTAAGAAGGAAAATAAAATTCTGAGAAAATAGAATGGCTCCAAGTATAGAGTGGCCAGGACCTTACATTCATGGCATACTTAGTAAGAGTACAAAATGAGAGGCTTTGGAGGAATGTCTCACTGTAGGAAGCACACCATATTTTACACCCACACTTGCAGTAAACTATTACTCAACTTCTGTGTGTAAGCACTGAGAAGAGAATAGACCTGATAATATATTTCTGATGTTTTTCAGTCTATCTTTTAATGTTTTATAGGCAAATGGTTTTCAAGAAAATATTTCACCTCTTTTAAGTATAAAGTAATTATATTAAAATCTTGTTTTCATACCTACTTGTATCACAATGTTAATAAAAAATTAAGCATTGAAAATTATTTGCTATTTTAAATAATACTGTATAACATGATATATTGTTAATAGTTAATAATACAGTAACACTGATATTAATGTAAAGCAAAGACTTATTTTGTGAATCTGTTGAATGCAGAATTAGACAGTTAATATCCCATATCTTTTAAAAATGTAATTGTCATTCAGTTTGTCTGAAAGTAATGTTTTGGTGGCCATGTCAGTGATTTCAGGACAGTGACAGAAAAATCTCCAGCCCTCTTTTGGAAGACTACAAACACGATATATGGTGTTAAGGTTTGCTTCCAGTTGAAGTCCTTTATTTAATATGAGCATATGTTCTCTATATATTTTTATTTTGGTTTTCCATTTTGTACTTCTATAATTATTAACCCTAGAACAGAAAACAATATAGGATGGTAACTTTCTTGTGAGGATAACAGTAATTCTTTGGCACAATTTATTGACATGCTAATTGAGAAGTTTGTATTTTATAAAAGCAATTGTGTACTTTCTGATCCTTATTGTATTCTCAACAGTGCATAGTATTGACTGAAATGAAACTGACATTACAAAAGAAGATCAATGACTTTTGCCATTCTCGTTGCCCTTCAATTAAGGTAATATAATTGAGTAATGACATTCAGCTAACTAAAGGGAGAACATTTTCTTTTTTTTAAAGATTTTATTTATTATGTATCCAACATTCTGCTTCCATGTATATCTGCACACCAGAAGAGGGCACCAGATCTCGTAAAGGATGGTTGTGAGCCACCATGTGGTTGCTGGGAATTGAACTCAGGACCTCTGGAAGAGCAGTCAGTGCTCTTAACCTCTGAGCCAAGGGAGAACATTTTTAATACTGAAGTTTGGAACATTTCATTGTTAAAAGCTCTATATGTGTACAGTCATAGTAAGTTTTTTTTTTTTTTTTTTTTTGGTTTTGTTAAGACAGGGTTTCTCTGTGCAGCTTTGGAGCCTATCCTAGCACTCGCTCTGGAGACCAGGCTGGCCTTGAACTTACAGAGATCCGCCTGCCTCTGCCTCCCAAGTGCTGGGATTAAAGGCGTGCGCCACCAAAGCCTGGCTATGTTCTCTTTTATAACACTGTCCATTGCCTACATTCAGACCTTCCTCATACTTCAATATTTATATCTTCATGTTTTCTTTTCCACATTTTATACTATCCCACTTGCACATTTATTTACATACATGCATATATTATTATTGGCTAGATTCTGCATATGAGGAAGAATGTGTGTATTTTTCTTCTGAGAATATGTAACCTTTATTGTTGTTATACATTTCAAGTCCATCCATTGTTACACAGATCTTGTGACTACCTTTTTTTAGAGCTGAATATATTTGTAACAGATGTAGAAAGAGCTCTAAGTACAAAAAAATAATTTATTTGCAGATTTTGGGATGGAGACAGTGCTGTTATTATAAAAATTACTTTCAGTAAAGCATTTGTAATTGAGTTAAAGAATCTCATGTGTACCTTTCATGGCTTGTTTTGCACTTTGATGTCTATGACATTTTTTTCTGTAGACTACTCCCAGCTTAATGCCCTTTTCTCATTTCTGCTAATTAATGCTTTTGGTGAGTGTACACTCATATCTATTTATGTAAAATAATAAGCATCCGTTCCTAGACCATTATACCAAGATAGCTGCTTCTTATGTATTGAACTTGAAATTTATGACCAAGCCAGAATTTTTGATACTGAAACAGCATACAGTATACAATGGTGATCTATTGAGGGTACTTCTGATTTTATGTGTCAGGTACCCACTCACCAAATAGTGCATTTCTTGATTCCCAAATTGATCTATGGATGACTCATTCTGTACACGATTCATGTTACATTTCAGAGAATATACTTAATTCTAAATGAAGTTATGAAACAGTGTAAGATAATTGAGGTGTTTTTTTTTTCCTATTCACATAAACAAATTTATTTCTGTCTTTTCAGTTTATTAGTGCAGATGTACATGGAATTTGGTCCAGGTTGTTTTGTGATTTTGGTGATGAATTTGAAGTTTCAGATACAACAGGAGAAGAACCAAAGGAAATTTTCATTTCAAACATAACGCAAGTATGATTATAGTAATTTTAATAAAATGTTAGAGAATAGAAATGCCAATTTTTTAAGATTTATAGACTATTATTTTTTTAAAAAATAAAACTTTTCTGATAATAATAGTATATAGAAACTTGGTTTTCAACTGAGCACTCTTATTTTTAGGCTAATCCAGGCATTGTCACTTGCCTTGAAAATCATCCTCACAAACTTGAAACAGGACAGTTCATAACATTTCGAGAAATTAATGGAATGACAGGTTTAAATGGATCAGTTCAACAGATAACTGGTAAGTTATGTGTGTTATTAATTCCTATTTAGTTGTTCAGCATATTTATAATCATATACTTTATTCAGTATTTAGAACATATCATCTCGGACCTGTTTATATCTCTTAGCCTCAAATCATTGTACAAGGGAGGATATACTAAACAGTGCTAATATTAAGAGAAAGAGAGTAAAGAAATACACTGTGAGATAATACAAGTTGAAATTTTAAATATTAACACATTTCAGAAGACAGTTATGAAAAATGTTAGGTGAACAAAGATTTACTTGAGCAACCTACTTCAGGAGTGTATGGATTGGGCTCCCAAAGCCCACACCTATGCTAGGGATAAGTACTGAACTTATCTACAGGACATCCTGTAGATTTCTGAGGTCTCCTCACTGAAACCCATGTTCCT